TCACACTTTTCTGGGTTGAATTCTATCTGCCACTTCTTTGCCCAGCTCTGCGTCCTGTCAATGTCTCATTGCAACCTACAACAGCCCTCCACGCTGTCCACAACTCCTCCAACCTTCATGTCATGTACAGTTACAATACTGGCATCTACCCAACAATGTGGAAAATTGCCCAAGTATGGCCTGTACAGAAAAAGCAGGACAAGTCCAACGTGGCCAATTATCACCCTATCAATCTACTCTTGATGGAAGGTGTCATCAACAGTGCTATCAAACAGCACCTGATCGGTGACGTCCCGTTTGGATTCCGCCGGGGTACTCAGCTCCTGACCTCATTATAGCCTTTGTCCAAACATGGACAAAAGAGCTGAATCTCAGAGGTGAGATGAGAGTGACAGCCCTTGACATTAAGGTGGCATTTGACAGTGCAGCATCAAGGAACCCTGGCAAAACTGGAATCGATGGGTATCAAGGCACACTCTCCAGTGGTTGGAGTCATACCTGACACATAGGAAGTTGGTCATAGTTGTTGGAGGTCAGTCACCTCTGCTCCAAGACATCTCTGCAGGAGTTCCTCGGTAGTGGTCCAACCATCTTCAGCTGCTTCATCAATGACCTTCTCTTCATCATAAGGTCTGAAGTGGGGATGTTTGCCAATGACTGCACAATCTTCAGCACCATTGGTGACTCCTCAGATATTGAAGTAGTCTATGTTCCAGTGCAACAAGATCTAGACAATATCCAGGCTTGGGCTGACAAGTGGCATGTAACATACATGCCACAGAAATGCCAGGCTATGACCACCACCAATAAGAGACAATCTAACCACCGCCCCTTAGCACTCAACAGTGTTACCATGACTGAATCCATCACTATCAACATCTTGGGGGTTCATCATTGACCATAAACCCAACTAGACTCACCACATAAACACAGTGGCTGCAAGAGCAGGTCAGATGCTAGAAATACTGCAGTGAGTAACTCCCCTCCTAACTCAAAGCCTGTCCACCATTTTACAAGGCATGAGTCAGGAGTGTGATGGAATACTCCCCACTTGCCTGGGTTAGTGCAGCCCCAACAACACTCCAGCTTGACACCATCCAGGACAAAGCAGCCTCCTTGATTGGCACTGCATCCACTTCCTCCATCACTGACACTTGGTAGCAGCAGTGTGTACTGTCTACAAGATGCACCACAGAAACTCACCAAAGATCCTCAGATGCAGCACCTTACAAACCCATGACAACTTCCATCTAGAAGGACAAGGGCAGCAGATATATGGGCATACCATCATCTTCAAGTTCCCCTACAAGCGACTCACCATCCTGATTTGGAAACATATTGCCGTTCCTTCAGTCACTGGGTCAAAATCCTGAAATTCCCTCCGTAATGGTCTTGTGGATCAACACACAGCAGGTGAACTGCAGCAGTTTAAGGCAGCTTACCACCACCTTCTCAAGGGCAACTAGGGATGGGCAACAAATGCTGGCCAGCCAGCGATGCCCACCTCCCACAAATGGATTTTTTAAAAAATGCGTTGAATGGCATTTCATTAGATTGGAAGAATTGAAGCCAGAGTGAAGATTTTTAATATTCAATTGAGTACTATAATGCAATTTATAAATCTATATTTGTCAAATATTGTTTCATGTGATCA